GAAAATAATCTTTGCCTTTTCATTGTTGTTGTGTGAGTCAGGAGCTCACCACATAGCTCTGGCTGTCCTGGAACTCAATATGGCCTCAAATGCACAGAAATCTTGTCAGCATCTGCCTACTCATTGCTGGGATGAAAGTTGTGTGCCACCATGCCCAGCTTCTTCTGTTTTGCTATAAGGGTTAAGCTGGCCTGGTACTTGAACTTCTCATCCTTCTATCTGCCTCCTAAGTGCTGGGATTATAGTTGTGCACTACCATGCTTGATTCTTTTATTATTATTATTATTATTATTATTATTATTATTATTATTATTATTATTAATGTAATGTAATTGTTAAGTCTCAGGCCCTTCATATATCTAGAAATGAGCTCAAGTTGGCTTGTAGAAAGATTTCTGGTGGTTAGATTTTAAAAAAAGCCAGCATTCCTTAGGAACTTGTAAAAACGGCTTCTCCACCCCCCCCCCCAACGAATTCCTCTCCATAGCTACTCCTTATAATCCACATGATTTGTCCGTCCCTGCTCTCTCTGTCTGTTCTGTATCTCAGCCCCTCCACCCGCATACTCATCTTTTGCTGTCTCCTCTGTTCTCTGCCGCTTCTCTAGCCCTGGTCATGTCCAGTCTGCTTGTTTCTCTCTGCTCTGAACTCTTCCAGATGCCTCTGGGTATTTTCTCTCTTATTCACAATAACAACCTTCCCCCTGATAGAGCAGATATGGTGATAGTTTCTTTACTGTACCCCCCAACGTACAGTCATCAGGAAGGTATAGCCTGAGTCACATGCAGCGTGTTTCTTTAAATATGGACTCTGGCCATTTCCCTCTTTGCATGGTCTTTCTGCAAATTAACTTACACTTAAGTCTGTGGTGTGGGGATGAATATGAATGACATCGTAGAATCCTTTTATTTTGACATACAAAAGAGCATCCTGGTTAAATCAAGTAGATTGCGGTTTTGAAATGTCCTCATTTTTGGCCTTGGCTGTCTTTCTGTGTTTCTTGCATATTTCAAAATGAATCTGATCTGACAATCAGTGGTTTGGGGACCTTGCTTGTATCTCCTGTAAAAAAAAAAAATAGCCCTGTCCTGGCTTGCACCCTTAGCCCTGCTTGACTTTTTCTGTTTGAGCCTAACCATATTGAACTGTGGAAAATGGTCATTACTTGATTAAATAAACGTAGACAGCAGCCCATGTTTTACAACACTGAGGTAATGGCACTCCCAAAGTGCTCTGGTTAATTATGGGTGCTGCTGAGCTAGGTGTCACTTCCAAACTTGCCTCCCCTCGCCTTCCGCTGCTGACCTTGCTTTACTGAATTTCATCTCTCTCCTTTCCCTCCCCTCCCCTCTCCCTTCCCTTCTTTTCTAGTGTGGGGGATGGATCGCACAGCCTAGAGGATAGTTTTACTGGATTTTGGTTGATAGCATTTACATGCCAAAACCCAAGATTTTGGGAGCTAAACCATTGCAAGTTAGGTATGTGACTGCCTTCACCATAGCACATCCATGGTATCTCTCAAGTCAGATGGCAGAGTATCACAGGGAACGGAGACTCACAGTCTGTGTGCTTATCTGTGTGTATACCACCACTGCTGTGTACTGATAATTTGTATGAGTTTGATCTACTGGCCAACATCCTTTTATTTCAGCCAGATGACTCCATTTACTATTTCTTGTAGAGCAGTTACATTAACATAAGTTTATTTTTCCTGGGACTGTTCTAATTTCTCAATGTTTTTACTGGTCATTGAACTTTTGATGACAAAAAATCTTATTTTGTGAGTCCTGGCCTCACTGTGTAGCCCAGACCTCTGAGCCTTCGTCCCTAGAGGACTGGAATTAAAGACACTGACCACCATACCTAGCACCTTTTGAGTTTGTATTGTTTGGAGCTCAGTGAGCCAGGGTGTACGATTCATTTTAATAGATTTTGATGGAACAGTTTTAGGTTAACAGAAAAGAGTAGTTTCCATACACTGCATTATTTCCACAATTATGAACATCTTGCATTAGTATTTTTAAGTGTGTGTGTGTATGTGTGTATGGGTCCCCGTGGAAGCCAAAGAAAACAACACCATGTCCTTTTTAATTGAAATTCCACGTGGTTGCAGCTGCCTAACTGGGTGCTGAGAACTGAACCCTTGTCATCTGGAAGAGCAGTAAGTGCTTTAAACCAATGAGCTCTCACCCCCAATTACAGTGTGTTTGTTATAACCTATAACCGGCACCCCCACCACCACCAGCCCTTTCCTCAACACTGTGGAGTAAACCCAGTACCTAATGCATGCCAGGCAAGTGCTCTACTGCCGAGCTGCACCCCTGTGCTCAGAAATTAATTGCGGATCATTCTGGGGCGGGGGGCTTGTAATGTCCCTTAGCCACAATCACACGTGGAGTCATGTCTCTGGTCTCTAACAAACCCTACTTGCTCACCCTCCCCCCCTTCTCCCACACCTCTGACAAATACTGGTCTTACTACTCCCACTATAGTTTTGCCTTTTCCAGAACACCGAGTACTTGGATCGACCCAGTTTGCAATCGGTTCAAGTTGGTTTCTTTCTGTTGTGATGTGACAGCTTATTTCCTTTTACCGTTCAGTGCTGTTTCATTGTGCGGATGTGTTATCCACTGAGCGGGGCTGACTCTTTCAGGAGGGGACTCCTATATTAACGTACTTTTGAGCTGTCGTTTTCTTTGTTCCCAGCCCAGACTTTATGGTGCAGGCTAAGCAGAAGTGCTCCTGTTCGTCCGTCTAATGTCCATGACCTTAAATGAGCCTATTTAGGAAGGAGCCCACCTGGAAATGCCTTATATATTATATAGACTCTTTACATAAAGTTCCCACACTTGGGAAATGAAATGACACCCGTGCTTCGCTTGCCAGCAGCAGGAACCACATCTCCAAGTTCTTTATCTCTTGTCTGTGCGTATTTCAACTTCACAGTCGCTGGCATGTGGACTCATTGCTCTCAGTTATGGCTATACCTCAGCAAGCAGTACGTTTATCTATTTAGCTATTGAAGGACCCCATGAGTATGTCCAAAGTTTGGCAGTTTTGAATAAAGTTTCTGTAAGCATTCATTTGCAAGCTTTTGCGATTCACTGTGTAAATACCAGGGATGTGGACGGTTGGGTTGAAATGCTGCTCTGCTTTACGTCATGAAGAAACTGCCCAACTGTCGGATTATACTGCAGTGTATTCATTGAGTGTATTAGTTGAGTTGTTTGAATGTATAGATGAATTTGTAGAAAGCTAATTTTGAAAGCTTTTCAGCCATTTATTCAGCAGTTCTTCCTGTACCCGCTTTCTTTGTTCTCTTCTTCTGGGACCCCCCTTACTCATCTGCCTAGACACTTGCTTTTCATGTCATCTCTCGGGTCTCAGAGACTCTGTCAGTGTTCCATAATTGTTTTCTTTTTGTTCCTCAGACCGAATACTGTCACTTTGCTTGTCTCAGCCTCACTGATTCTTTCTTTTCCTTTTCTTTTTTTTTTTTTTTTTTATAATTTATTTCATTTTGTGGGCATTGTTGTTTTACCTGTATGTTTGTTCATGTGATGGTGTTGGATCCCCTGGAACTGGAGTTACAGACAGCCGTGAGATGCCATGTGGGTGTTGGGAATTAAACCCTGGTCCTCTGGATGCCCAACCACTGAACCATCTCTCCAGCTCCTGAGTCTTCCTTATGTCAGTTCAATCCTGCTTTTCTAGTCAGTTCAGCCATTTTATTGTGTCAGTTCCATTTAGTGACTGTAACATATCCACTCCAGATTTCTATTACTCCTTTTTTAAAACTAAATTCTTTTTACTGCCATTCTGAATATCGTTAGCCATCTCATAGTTGTGTTTAATCCTTAAGGTGTTTGAATGGATGTAGAGTAGTTATTTTGTCTGTTAAGGCTAGTGCTTGGCCTCCTTTGGAGATAAAATTGACCTCTTTTCACCTATGCATGGGGCAGGTTTTTGTTTTCTTTGCATGCCTTGTAAACGTTTATTGCTGTAGCTGTACATCTTGGGATACAGTGTTGACTCTGGATAATCAGACCTTCAGTCCTGTCCTGCTAAGGCTTCTTGTTACTTACTGATTGGTATCTTTTTTTTTTTTTTTTAAGAGGCTGTTAATGGGAAGCTCTTTAATCCCAGTACCCTGGCGGTGGAGGCTTGAGGGTTACAAATTCATAGAAGGCTTTGGGCTGTACAGTAGACTGCCTCAGAGATTAAAAAAAAAAAAAAAAAGAAAGGGGGAAGTCTGTTTAGTTAGCTTCTTTGTCTGCAAATGACTAGACAGAAGTACTAAACTAAAAGGGGGCAAGGATTACTTAAAGAAATATTGTTTATTGTTGATATTTAAGGTACTGTTTTATTTTTAATTATGTGTATTGTGTATAGTTATGTAAGTATGGAGCCTGCTTTTGAGGCACCTGAAATGGGTGCTGAGAACCAAACTCAAGTCCTCTGGAAGAGCAGCAAGCATTCTCAACCACTGAGCATCTCTCAAGCCCCTATTGTTGATATGCTAGTGGTAGAAAGTTTAAGTGTTGGTGAGTGAAAGAAAATGCTGTGAGCAGCTTACTTAACTGTGAGGTTGTCGTTAATACCTCACTAAGCATGGAGAGCCTTCATAGCGAGGACAAAATGTGAGGGATTTCCCAGTTAGATTAGACTGTTAAACTGTTACCTAGCACTCATTTTGGGGGTGCTGTTGCGTTTCTTTTAGAAAGCTTAATCTGTGCCAGATACATAGCATGCATTAGGCTCTTGGTTTGGTTCTCAAAGAAGGAGGAGGAGGAGGAGAGAGAGAAAAAGACAGTTTAACCTAAATCCTATCAACATAGTAGTAGAAAAAGAAGTAAGACTGTAGAGACCTCAGTTAGCCGTGGACTTGAGGGAGAGGAGCAGAGAGTAAACTTCCTGGGATAGCTCCGTTTCTAGGGTGTGGAGTAGTACAGACACACGCCATCGACGGCCCTTCACTCACTTCCCTTGTCATTTTACAGACTGTTTGAAGAGCCTGCCGGGACATGTCCTCGTCGCCAGATGTCTGGGGTGTGATAGAAACTTGGCCACAGTGCGATAGCTCCTGTGATGGAGTGCAGGATGTCAGCAGGACTCAGCGCTGCGACAAATCCAGACTTCCTGTGATTCTAAATGGTACAACGTTGTCTGAATGGTTATCTTAATGTTGTCTGTGTTTACAGTGGGCAGTCATTTATTTTTCACTTTGTCTTCGGAGTAACAAATTACTTGCATGTTTTCAAGTGGCATCATTTATTTTGGTGTCAGAAACTCACATCAAGCCTGGCATGGTAGTCCATACCTGCAATGCCAGTCAGTACTGGGGAAGCGGAAGCAGGAGCATCTTCAGTAGTTCAAGGTCAGCCTGGCCTCCAAACAATGACAAAAACACTCTCCCTCACCTCACCTCACCCCACCCCGCCCCCACCAAAACTTGCTTCAGATCTTGTCTGGATAAAATGAATGACCTTTGAACATTCTGTGAAGAGGACTCTGTAACAGAACCAGTTGCCATTCCACAAAAGTGTTCTTTTTGTTTGTGTTTATTTTTTGTTTTATTTCTGTTTGTTTGTTTTTGAAGCAGAGTCTTACTATGTGTCATTGTCTGGCCTGGAACTCACAAACAACCACCTGCCTCTGGCTTCTGAGTGCTGGGATTAAAGTCTTCCATACACTGAGTTTACAGGATTGTTCTTAAAAAAACAAAGAAAGAAAGAAACATGGTGGGAGCTGGAGGGGAGAGGTGCTGGAGAGCCGGCTCAGTGGTTAAGAGTGCTTGCTGCTTTTGCAAAGGACTCATTCTCAACACGCACGTTGGGTGGCTCATAATCCCATGCCCTTGGTCTCTGTAGGCACCTGTACTCCTGTGGGCTTACTCCTTCCCATACAAATAATTACAAATAAAATAACTCTTAAAAAAAAAATGTGTCAGGGAGTTAGCTCTGTCATTGAAGTGCTCACTTGTAAATCTAAGAACCTGAGTTCAATCCCCAGAATCCATGACCCCTTCACACCCACACCCACACCCACACCCCCCCGAAAAAAAGCTGGTATAGCTTTGTAGTTTGTCATTTCAGTGCTTAAGAGGCAGATGAAGTCAGGTCCTCGGGCCTCCAGCCAGCCATGTGATCTGTGGGACAATGAGAGACCCTGTTACAAAACAAAGTCAAGGAGCAAGTGAGAACCAATGCCTGTGACGTGTATGCATACAAGCATGTTCACTCTCACCCCCATATGTGTGTGCAGACGCACACACATAATCCTGTTTACAAACATTTTATGTGCGAAATATTTGTTGAGCTCCTGGCATTTGGATTTTGACAAAGATCTTTCTAACTTATAAAAGTGTTGTTTGTGTGCTTCCTGTTCCTGATTCAGGTAGCCTCAGACGTATTATGTGCCCAGGGATGACGCTGCACTTCTAGCCTGCTGGCCTTTACCTCCTGAATGCTGGGGTTATGGCTGTGCCCTCTACCTGATTTTATATAGTACTGGGCATTGAATCAGGGCTTCTTGCATGCCAAGCAAACATTCTGCCAACTACCAACTGAACTACATCCCCAGCCCAAGTATTGTGTAAGGGTTTATAGTCTGCAATAGCCAGTGCAGGGGTCACGAAAGCTGTGTTGTCCACTGAACACATTATCAGTCTGGAGCTGCACTTAGGGGCCAACCCAACACCAATCTGCCTTTGGTTCAGCTAAGCCTTTTCAGCCCACTTTGAATGGTCAGTAGAATCATCTTGCTTCCAGGGTCCTGGGATTCACAGTTGTTTTTATGCTGATCTCTTAAGTGTAGTATAGCCCTAAATTGGCAAAAAGCGGATGGATCTGATCCTTGCACCTCTCCTGGCTGCTGATAGCAGCTGATGTCAGGAGGAACTTAGTTTTGATATTAAGATGGAGGTGCTTATTCTTAGAACTGGCAGAGTACTGGGACTCACGGTGTGTGGGCAGTTGAGTAATTACTGCCATGATCTTCACCTATGTTCCTATACTCCTATATCCCTGCAGTTCAGATTTTTCTATTTTTTGAGACAGTCTCTCTTTTTGTAGCCCAGGCTCTCCTACAACTCACTACATAGACCAGGCTTGCCTCTGCTTCTGGAGTGCTGGGATTAAAGGCTTGTGCCATCCTACGGGGCCTCAGATGTTTTTTGGTAGGGTATATTAGGACATTTTTGTGTTAGGTTTGGTGCATATTTTTACCCCAGTTTTTGGCTTTAACATGAGAACAATGGGTCTTCTGTGACGTAATCTCAGTATATTAAGTCAATCTTATGTATATATTTTTAAATATATGGCCTTGTAGTAAAGGAGCTAATTTTGAGCTTGAGAAGAAACTGTAAACTATTGCATTTACAAATGGCTTTCATTATTATTTCTTTCTTTGTAGCTCTATCCTGTCCAGTGATATCTCGTCCTGATAAACTGGCAACTCCTCTGACCACAACAGAGAAAAATCGGAGGAAACCTCATTGGTGTCCAAGGCCTAGAAGATTGCCCCATCACAAAGGGAAGCCTGGAACTGTTTTGAAATGCTTAGAAACTTGTTTCGGAAGAGACTTTTTTCTTATCCTACAAAATACTACCTCATGGGTCTTGTTCTCTCTCTAATAACCTTCTCTGTTTTAAGAATTCATCAGAAGCTTGAATTTTTTAGTGTCAGACACTTGGAACTTTCTGGAGATGGTCATACCAGCAACATTAATTGCACCAAAGTTTTAGAGGGCGACCCAGATGAAATCCAAAAGGCGAAGCTTGAGATAATAACAGTGCAATTCAGGAAGCGCCCAAGGTGGACCCCGTATGACTATATAAACATGACGCATGACTGCGCCTCTTTCATCAGAACTCGCAAATATATTGTGGAGCCCCTTAGTAAAGAAGAGGCAGGCTTTCCAATTGCATATTCCATAGTGGTTCATCATAAGATTGAAATGCTTGACAGGCTCCTGAGGGCCATCTACATGCCCCAGAATTTCTACTGCATCCATGTGGACAAGAAAGCAGAGGAATCCTTTTTAGCCGCCGTGGTGGGCATTGCATCCTGCTTCGATAATGTCTTTGTGGCCAGCCAGTTGGAGAATGTTGTTTATGCCTCCTGGAGTCGGGTTCAGGCTGACCTCAACTGCATGAAGGACCTCTACAGAATGAATGCAAACTGGAAGTACTTGATTAATCTTTGTGGTATGGATTTCCCTATTAAAACCAACCTGGAAATTGTCAGGAAGCTCAAGTCATTCATAGGTGAAAACAACCTGGAAACTGAGAAGATGCCTCCCAACAAGGAAGAAAGATGGAAAAAGCGGCACACTATTGTTGATGGGAAGCTGACTAACACTGGGGTAGCCAAATCGCAGCCTCCACTCAAAACTCCTCTTTTTTCAGGCAGCGCCTACTTTGTGGTCAGTAGGGAATATGTAGGCCATGTGCTAGAAAATGAAAATATCCAAAAGTTTATGGAATGGGCGCAGGACACATACAGCCCAGACGAGTTCCTTTGGGCCACTATCCAGCGGATCCCTGAAGTCCCTGGTTCTCGCCCCTCCAGCTATAAGTATGACTTGTCTGACATGAATGCTGTCGCGAGGTTTGTCAAGTGGCAGTACTTCGAAGGCGACGTTTCCAGAGGCGCTCCTTACCCCCCGTGCAGTGGAGTCCACGTGCGCTCCGTGTGCGTCTTCGGAGCGGGTGACTTGAGATGGATGCTGCGCAAACACCACCTTTTTGCCAACAAGTTCGATGTGGACGTCGACCCCTTCGCCATCCAGTGTCTGGATGAGCATCTGAGGCATAAAGCCCTGGAGAACTTAGAGCACTAACCGCTGGTAGCCGTTCTGGGGGTGGGAGGGATGCGCGAACTGTGCCCTCATCTGCTTCCCTTGGTTCATAGAGGGTCCTCTTTGGGACGATGTTTTTTAAGTCTTTGTGACAGGGAAGCTGCTCGAATTCTGCAGAATACAGTTACATGAGAGGTTGATGCACTAATTGTTCTAGAGTAACTTCGAGGACAGATTTAAGATGGCTGGAGGCTGGGCAAGATTTTTATGGACAGATGAGACACAGGAGACTGGAAAAGAGGCCAGTGGGGAAAAAAAATCAGCCTCCTGGACTAATCAAAGAACCCAGGTACTTAATCTCAACAAAATTTGATTTGTGCCAAAATTCTCTTGAGAATTTTAAACATGATCATTTTCTTGACATGAATAAATTTGTAGCAATGACCAATCATAAACATATAATTTATCCTGTATATTTTTTGGAATAGACGTTTGGTTTTACTCTGTTATCCTTGTAAATAATTTACTTCCTGCTGTGATTTGTGAGGGTGGTGTGTCTCCGTGTGTCATCTCAGGGAGCTTCAAATATGTTCAGCATAGATATCTCTGTCTGAATTTTTGCTTAACTATGCATACATGTATTCAAAAGCAATGGGGCGGGATTGGGAAGGACAGTTTCGAGTTCACCAGTTTCTATGAATTCTCTTTTAAGTTAGAAAATTCTAGGAAGCAGCTGGGTGTGTGTGGCCTCTGCCTATTAAGCAGGAGGTTTGTTCAAGCTCAGGTGATTAGCAGCCAGGCTGGGGAAAATAATAAGAACTCATGTCTTTTTTAAAAGGGGAAAGAAATCAACTCAAATTTTTCATTTTTCTTTATCTTGTCTTCCTAGACTGTGAATGCTGTTCATTTGCATACACGTTGCTGTTTTAGGATCCTATGTCTGAGTTTTGGGTCTTTGGTATGACCCAGTCTCCAGTAATTAGTGCAGAAAACTAGGGAGGGTAAAGTAGGCATTCGAGGGAAGAAGAGACCCATGGAGGCCATTGCTAAGGCCCTGGTACATGTTTAAAGCCAGCAATTGGCTCTGTCCCAAGAAATTAAGGTGCCTGCCTACTGGATCCGCCTTCTCTCAGGTGGCGACATCCTGACCTTGAATATTCGTGTTATCTGCCCACTGGCTTTCTTAGCCCACTAGTTGCTAGTGTCTTTCTTCCTCTCTCTCTGCCCTTGTTGAGAGCCCTTGTGTCCACATGTAGTATGTGAATGTCTGGGAAGGAGCTGTGCTATTGCAGTTTGTTTTCCCAAAAGACAAATAACTTAGGGTTTCTGTAGTTCTGGTTCTCATCCCAAATGAAGGTTTTTGTTTGTTTGTTTTCTGCTAATATTATTTAGCTAAATCTAAACTGTTCAGCCAGAATTCTAATGAATTTGAAACCTTGTCATTTGATTTTTAACAAAAATCAACACCATGTACTTTTATTTTTAAAACATAACCAACGTTAACAGTCCATGAGAAAGTATGTTTTCTGCCTCAAAGGTAGAAAGTGTTTTTCTTTTAACGACAGTTCCTGTCATTAAAAACGTCAGGGATCAATGGCTCCGCTGGTTTTGTGTTAGACCACTAGAAACGTGTTTGCTGTGGAAGGCCACAATGACGTGACGCAGCCGTGGGGCTTGTGTCCTCTATACTGGCTGCAGTTTCTTTAGTTTACACCCAGGATTTGGCAAACGCTTCTCTTAGTAGAAAGGCTTTTAGGTATGACACAGGGCATCTTTTAAATCTCAAACCAGTGATACCTGGTGACATATAATTTGTGTACACAGCTGTGACTTAAGCAGTTTTTCTTTATCCATTTTGAAAACACAAGGGTTGAAGCAATAGTCCAGTGATCCAGCAAGCAACCCAGACGGGGGTTGTTACCAGAATTAACACATCCAGCACCATTTGCTTCATTTTGGAAGAACTCTTTATTTTTCGGTGTTTGGCTTTTGGTTTTTCAAAATCGATTCTCTATGTAGTTTTGGCTCTCCTAGACTCGATTCATAGACATGGCTGGCTTCCAAACTCACAGAGATCCACCTGTCTCTGCCTCCCCGAGTCCTGGGATCACAGGTGAGCACCACCAGGCCCAGCTTTGGATGAACTCATAAACTTTGCAAAACTGGAAATTAAGTTATTTTAAAATTACAAGTATTTTTTTAAAAATCAAGTATTTGATGTTATTCATCTAAACGTTCCTATTCTTGTCGTGGGACTGCATTTAGTTTACAGTTAGATAGAAAGTGTGAGGGTTTCTTTCCCCCCACTACAGGAGTAAAGCCAGGATTGTGGGCTCCCAGAGCCCCACGTTAACGTGTCGTGAGGCTTCAGCACCCGTGATGGCTCGCCTTCCCAACATTGCACTTGTTGGACCGTGTCTGATGCCGGGCTCATGCAGTGTCTGCTTATTGGGTGTGTTTTGTTTTTTAACTTTTCCACCTGACTTAAATCCATATAGTGGGATAAACAATTTGAAGAACTGAAAAGGGAACTTGGAAATGAAACCATAAAATAATGCAGAATTGCAGTTACAATTGCAGTTCACTGGGAGAGATACAGGCTTTTTTGAGTTAAATTCGTATTTGTTAGTACACACTAATTTTAATGCTATCATTAAGGTCTTTTTATAGAAAACTTTTACTTTGTAATAACGTCCACAAAATGAAATCAGATTCTAGTGATTAAGTCAGTCAGGACTTACGTATCATTTGTTAAATAAGTTAATTTAAAAAGATTATTCCATTGTATAGGCAATTGCCTAGGTTCTGCCAAGGCCAAGGTTAAAAAAAACAACCAAACAAACAAACAAACAAACAAAAACATTTCACCTTGAAAACCAGGAACATGATTATTTCTAAACAAGTGTTTGTTGTCACTCATCTGGTAGAGTTTATTTAAGAATTTATTTCCTCTCCCCATGATTTTGTGTGGAAGAAGCTGTTTTAGTAATTCATGGGTAGGATTGGTGCAAATGGATGTTTTTCTTTCCTTTAATAATTACTGTCATTATGAAGTGTGAAATGCAAAACTGTTGATGGTAAGCTCTACTCTTAAATGAATCAGTTCTATCAGCATTAAAGTCAGTCATTCAGAAACCAATGCTGTGTCTGCACGCATTATTCCTTTTTCTTTGTTCCACCAATCACAATAAAATTAGTTTTTATATTTGTGAATAGTGATTAAAAAAAAAAATCAAGACAGAGACGTCTGAAATTACCGAGGTAAAAATGTCTGAAACGAAAGCATGGCAGAGAAAATTACATTGCAAAATAAGATGAAAGACTAGATGTGATGGTGAACTCCGGAAGCAGGAGGATTGCTGTAAGCTCATGGCCGGTTTCTATAGCTGGTTTCAGGCCAGCCAGGGCCATACAATGAGACCCTGTCAAAAAAGTAAAGAAAAGAAAAAGAAGAAAAGAAAGGCCAGTTATCCCAGCACTCAGGGAGGGGGGGCAGGCCTGGTCTACAAAGGGAGTCCAGGACAGCCAAGCTACACAGAGAAACCCTGGCTCGAAAGACCAGAGAGAGAGAGAGAGACAGGGACAGAGACACAGAACTAACAGGTCTTACAAAAACATGAAGACGGTATTTAGAAGCATGCTGTGCGTTGCATTCTCAGATGTTGGACACACTTCAGCTTCACTGATGGAGAGAGCAGTTTTCCACAGATTAACTCCATGGCTACAAAGCTCTGTGGCACCCTTGCCTGTCTGGCATTTATAAGAGTCTCCATCTGATTCCCAACACACACACACAAAATTGATAAAATATTTTACAAGTTTACAAATTATTCAAGTTTTCAGAAAGATCTGAAATCCATCCATTTTGCTATTTTTTAGAATCAGTTTTATCTAAAATGCAGCTGCAAGCACCCAGAAGTATTTTAACAGTGCAGACATGATGGTATCTGGCCCAAACAAGCTCTCAGTATTTGGGGAAGAAGACTCCTTTTTCCCTCAGCTGTGTTTCCTATATTCAGAGTTCAGCAAGTGACAACAGACTCTAGACATTTTTAGATAAAACAGATTCTAGAAATAACTAAATGGATAGATTTCAGATCTTTCTTAAAACCCAAGTAACTAACTTGTACATTTATAAAAGATTTATTATAATTTTTCTGTGCTGGGGATCAAATCAAGCTCACTCATGATAGGCAGGCTAAGGTCACAAAGCTACTCCCCCAGTTCTAGATCCATCAATCAAGTTAATTGATTGATTAGTTGACTTGGGTGTGGTCCCACAGTATATGACAAACTGGCCTCAGACCCTTGATCCTCCTGCCCCAGTACCCCGGTTCTGGGGTTACAATCAGGTGCCATCACTCCTGATTTCAGGCTTATTTTTATTTGTGTGTGTGGGTATGTGAGTGCATAGGCATTACAGGAAAACTTCAGGTGTCGTTTTCAGGAACTCGACCCCGCCTCCTTTGAGAAGAGTCTCACTGATCTAGAATTTACCAAGCAGCTTATGCTTAAGCTAGTTGGCCTGCAGATGCTAGACATCTTGTCTGTCCCTCCTCAGGGCTGGTACTGCAACAAGTTTCCATTATGCCTAGCATTTTTTTTACATAGTTTGTGGGGCTCAAACTCAGATCCACATGCTTGCCAGACAACTACTTTACCAACTAAACTGTATCCCCAGACCCAGCATTTTCCTTTTCCAAGCACAGTCAAAAGCAGGTTAGGTATGAAATTCGCAGTCTTAGTGCTATTGAGTATTTTCAAATTATTTATTCTCGGTACTTAAAAGATTATCTTGAGGAAAACTGCATACAACGTGATCTTCAAAGAGAAAAAAGATGCTGGGCAGAAAGCAGTGCTTGGAGTTTTTAAACTACACCTTTTTGGGTCACTCCCTCCGGCCCTATAAAATGATCGGTTGTCAAATCTGTATTTGGAGCCTTTTCCTCATATGGTTTGCCTTAGGAAATCTTACTCCTTTTATCTTGCCTATTTACTCAAGCAGAAAGGAGCTCCGCCTTCTTGCTACTCTTTCCCGGAAAATGTTTTAGATTTCAGCTGTGGGGCGTAGCAGTTTTAAGGCCTTACGCTTGAGTAGCTATGTGATTTCTCAGTTGTATATAGGTCCAGTAAAGCAATTGCCTGAAGTAGCCAGAAGAGCAATGTATTTGCTATTGGGGCCGGGGGAGAAGTTCTGGGTCATGGTGTTACTTTATGGAAGAGCTAGGCATGCAAACTTGTCTCCCTTCCATAGGCCATCATCAATCAGTCTGTCCTCAAGATCCCAGAGTGCTTAGGTTGGTGATGATTTTTCGGTTGGAGAAGTGACTCAGGTTCAGAGCAGTTACTGTTCTTCAGAGGACACCAGTTTGACTCACTACTGTGAGGCTTAAAGAACCAGAGCTCTGCTGAGGCTGAAAGACAAAGCTTTACTTAGGGGAATGAACTTTCAGCCTGTTTCCAAGAGAAGGGAGAGCAGCCCTGCCAAAAGGGAATTTTTTATAGGTTTTTATTGGAGTTTTATAGGGTGATTTTAGTCGAGTAGGAGACCGTTAAGAGAAAAAGAACCAAAACAGGTGAAAGGTATTTCTGTGAGCAAGGTTTTATGAGGAGGGCCTCTGGCTGTTAGGATAGCAGGAGGCTGTAATCAAGCTGTTCTTCGGAGATGAGGGGAGAGCAGACTTCTGAGAAATGCAAAACATCCAGTTTCTGTTTCCCTGAGGGGACTGGTTCCCACATGTGTTGTGGTCTGTCTTGGTGTCTTAAATGACTCCATCTTGGGCTAGCCTAACAGCAGCCTTCCGCAACTATGCTCTAGGGCATCTGACACTCTCCTGGCTTCCTTGGATACCCCTGTACATGGCGTTCACTCGTACAAACAGAAATAAATGAAAATTAAAACATCTTTAATATACATACACAGATATTTTAAGTATGTTTTTGTTTTGTTTTGGTATCGGGTATTTGATGAAGTACTCTTTACCAGTGAGATCAACAGAACTAGAAAACATTCACTTTCTTCCAAAGTTTCTATGTGAGTGTCTCAACTTGGGTATAACTTTGAGGAGGAGTGTGGTACAGAAGATCTTGTCTAACTAGAGAATTTTGGGTAGCCTGTAAATCCTGTAAAGGATTTCCCACCTTTAAGATTAGATAAGAATAGAAACCAGCCTTTCCGCTTTCGGCTCGGAGGAGACAAAGGTGCAACTTTCTTCGGTTGTCCCGAATCCGGGTTCATCTGACACCAGCCACCTCCACCATGCCACCCAAGTTCGACCCCAACGAGATCAAAGTCGTGTACTTGAGGTGCACTGGAGGCGAGGTCGGTGCCACATCCGCGTTGGCCCCCAAGATCGGCCCTCTGGGTCTGTCTCCAAAAAAAGTTGGTGATGACATTGCCAAGGCTACCAGTGACTGGAAAGGTCTGAGGATTACAGTGAAACTGACCATCCAGAACAGACAGGCCCAGATTGAGGTGGTGCCTTCTGCTTCTGCCCTGATCATCAAAGCACTCAAGGAGCCATCAAGAGACGGAAAGAAGCAGAAGAACATCAAACACAGTGGAAATATTACCTTTGATGAGATTGTCAACATTGCCAGACAAATGAGACACCGTTCTTTAGCCAGAGAGCTTTCTGGAACTATTAAGGAGATCCTGGGTACTGCGCAGTCTGTGGGCTGCCATGTGGATGGCCGCCACCCTCATGACATCATAGATGACATCAATAGTGGTGCAGTGGAGTGCCCAGCTAGTTAAGAAGTAACAAGAGTATTTAAATAAAAAACCATCTGATAAAAAAAAAAAAAAAAGAATAGAAACCAAGATGCTTTCAGGAAACCATTGAAAAAATTCTAAACATGAATACCACTGGCTTTAAATATTGCTAGGTATTTATAATTTAGTTCTGTTGTCTTTAGACACATCAAGAATTCCCTTATTTGACTTTATTTGAAAGAAATGGTTTTTTTATTAGAGTTTTTTCCTCCACTCAAAAAAGAACACCCATTTTAATATGTTCCTTGAGTGAATAACAACTGAGAGGAATTAGCATGAGGTTACTGCATGCTCTACACACCTTGCAGGGAATGTCACTTCCTTCCCAGGCGTAATCGCCTGGAGCATTCTGGGAACAACTTGCAAAGGAGTTAGACAGGCATAACTCAAAGAACACCTACTGTTTTCAAACAAAACTGTCTCCTGTAGTTTCAGCTACCACTGTCCTTTCAAAGCTGCTGCTTTGCTTTGAATATAATGCTTCTTTGCAGGAGGCATGTATGCGTGGCTCTTCCACAAAGCAACGCCACTAGCCAGCTCTCTCTCTCCTCTCTCAAAAGCATTGGGAAATTACAGGGGTAGAAATAATAGTTCACTCATTCTGGAATTGTTGAAATGATCTCTCTCACCTCTCTCCCTACCTATTTAATCTATCGTCTGTCTGTCTATCTGTCTGTCTGTCTATTTATGTGTACTTTTTTGAAAGTGGAGGCCAGAGGTCAGGCATGCTCCTCTATCACTCTTGTCTTTTGAAACAGGATTGCTCACTAAGCCTGAAGCTAGCTGCTTTTGTTAGAGTGGTCAGCTAGCCCCAGGTATCTGCCTGTCTCCACCAGCAAGTACTGGGGTTCCTGGTGAAAGGACCAGGCCTGATCTCCTCCCCCAAAAGTCTTCAGTCCCAGGAACTAGGCCATAGGTCACCAGTTACAGGAGTAAGAAAACCGTAAAATTTCCCACCCAAGGAATTGCTTGGAGGGAACTACAAGAATGGGAAGTTATCTTATCTCAGGGTGAGGCATCTGTGCTGGGCAGCCCACTGACCTAACATTCCTGAGGTCTACAGATAGCGCTACCAATGTTATGGTAGTTAGCCAATCACTTTGTAACAAGCTTGCCTTGGTCATCCAATCACGTAACTGTTAAACCGGAAATTCCCGGTCCTTCCTCAAACCATAAATAAAAACTCTACTGTGCAGCTGCTGGAGGCTCTCCTCTCTGATCCACTGCATTGGTGATGGTGGAGAGACCTAGCTTAAGTATAAATAAAGCTCTTTGCTTTTGCATACGTGGGCCAGCTGCTGGTGGTCTTTGGGGACCTTAAGATCTGGGCACAACACTGGTTTTTAAGTGGATGCAAACTCAGG